TAGGAAAAAGTATTGTAGAACAGTTGCAAAGAAGAGACAGAATGATTCAGCATGTCTACTGTGCAATGCAGCAATAAATGATATATATAGGCCCATTAATGCAAAACATAAGTTAAGGAGAAGTTGACCATGATCTGATGTGCGTAGTTTCCTATGACAGAAGATAATGAATAAATAGTCATTTTTACTATTGTTGTCCACTTGTTTTAGCCACTAACTTGCTTGATAGGTATGTTGTTACAGTGATAGTGAGACAAACGAGAGATATTACAATTCCAATGTATGTGATAGAGTCTAAGAACAATGTCAACCCTGTTCTCTCTGTTGGCTCAATAATTGGAGATGCATCCTAATATGATTATAAGTGATGTTGTGATAAATTATTAATAATATACTCACCAGTAGTATAGGTCTAGTCCATTAGAATAGAACTTGCCATCACCAGTTGTGATCAATGCTTTTATATCTTTATTACTAGAGAGAAATAGAGACAGATAATTGGTAGTACATGTAGATATATTTTGCGCTAATACATTACATACAGTATAAGCAGGGTTTCCCACAGGACTTTAGCATAGTGCTCATGCAACTTATTGTCAGTGAATTGTCAGGTTGCTCAAAAATTGGGCTAAAGACCCTGTACAAGAAAAATCCCAAGGAGGGAATTCTAATTTTTCTGATACATATACATGTCCTCCTTACACTGTGGACCAAATTTGAGCTAATTCTGATCAAATTTAATTTTTAATGAATTTTTGAAGTTGCTCAAAAATTGGGTCAATAACCAAAGGCTGTAGCCTTGGGTCAGTGGCCAAATTATGTTGAAAATGGCTATGAGAGAATTCTCTATTTTTATAATTTTTTCTGATACAAATACATGTTCTTATATGCTGTGTATCAACTTTGCACTGATTCCAATCAAATTTGAATTTTTTATGAATTTTTAAAGTTGCTCCAAATGCCATGTAATGTCATGAAGCATGCTGTTTAGCTCACTTAGCATGCTTTGTGGGAAACCCTGAGTATTAAGAACTATAAGGAAGGATTAAAATTAATTCTAATGGATACTCATCACTGATGTCAACACTCTCACATTTCATCATTAATAAGTGCCGCATACCGTATAGTGGGAAAATTTGAAGGGGATATAATTTGGCGAACTTGGCATTTTGATAGCCATTCGCCAAAATAAAAATCCCCCATTTCGAGCCATTATACGCATGCTTAATGGCAC